TATAGTAAGGGTATAATGTACCTTAGCTTCAAATCAACACCTAGGGTTAATCCTAAGGCCAAGTAACCCTATAAGAACTCTTCTTGAGCTCTCCCATAAGGATCTTACCTTTTAAATATTAGAGGTTAGGACCAATATGTGGAATCTCAAGTTGAGCAAAGAGAAGAGTTTGAATTTCTAATGGTGAGGATACCTTTTCTAGTTTTCTAAGACTAGTCAATAGGAAAGTCCTATGGCTAGACCTAGGCTACTAAAGAAGTTTCTAGACCTCAACCAAAAGTGAGGTCAACACTGCCTACCATAAATCCAAATTAATTATGAGAAATCTGAGTAATACGTCTTAACCTATGTTCAGTTACCCTCTCCCATAATTAAAGAGCATGTACAATGTGATTATTTTTAATACCTCATCTTTTATTTCTTATGGTATAATGCCCTCTTTAAAATGTTTCATAAGCTGATTTCACTCGTTTCAAAGAAAAGATTGATTTTCATTATTTCTTCTTCTTAAACTCGAGTGTTAGTCGCCTATATGGGATCTCTACATTACAGAGATGATCAAACAATTGGTTCTAATATATGGGAATACACTCAATTCTAAATACTCAATTTTTTATTATATCAAACAGGGCTTTGAATAGATATCTCTTTAGAGTATCCTCCCATGCTTCATATAAGTCAATCATCTGATTCACTATCAGTTAGGAGTCCAAGTACACATGCAGGTACATGGTGCCTACTCCCACAATATATCGTAGACCAATTATCAATGTTTCATACTCATCTTGGTTTATTAGTGACTAGAAATTGGATTTTTATAGCATCTGTTAAAATGATGTCCATCAAGTTCTTAAACACCATTTCACCTACTTTCTACCCATTAGATGCTCAGTCCATGTAAAAACCCCATAACATGACATTTATCATTGTGGATTCTTCATTAGCTCGTTCTATGAAGTTGGTAACTATGATCACTAATGCCTGTGCCTTAATAATTGGCATTGGGGTGCAGGAAATGCAAAATTCTCTTAGCTCCATTAGCCATTTGAGAATCAATCCCAAGTGGTTAGGCTTCACCAAGATCAACTTCAAAAGGTGATCCATGATGAATTCGATCAAGTGAACTTGGAAGAAAGAGCAAAATCACTGTGCAGTGATGATGAGGCCAAAGGCTAGTTTCTCCATGATATGGGATTTGAGTTTAGCCCTGCGAAACAACTTACTTTCATAATATATTGACCAATATTTTTGGCCTTGCTAATGAATCAGGACCTAACTAGTAGCTTCTTTTCCAACTTCCATGCAGGATAACAAATCCTTGCCAAGTTGTGGTCTTAGAAATAATAGAGGCAAAGTATAGCTCACTTTTTGTTCAGGGAAAATTTTTCACACTCCTAGCTACATTTGAATTTCTTAGCACTTCTTAAAATTATATTAAAAAAAAGGTGATCACTTCCTCACTCAACTATAGGCTAATTCCACTTTGAACAAATTAAACCAAGATTGCTAACAAAAATCCACCAATCAAACTCAGTTAACTATCTTAGATAATTAAAATAATAAGAATTCATATCGTAGATGACAAAATCATGAGATCTTTGATCAGGTTTGTCGACATTCCCACAACGTCTTATTTAGGCCAATAACAATCTACCATTTCAACATAACCAAACTATTGTTATTAAAAATAATCATTTTAGAGCTTATAAACAAGCCTTAATAAAAAATTTTCTCTCCCTTATTTACTCGCGTGAATATCAACAAAAAGTAAGAAGTGTGCATTAACCCAACTCTCGACAATAAGAAAATTTATTTTGACATCAAGTTTCTTAGCCAGACATATGATGGAAAAGAAAATGAATTGAAGAAAAAAAAATTCTGTTGGGAGCAATTTGGCTAAACTTTATTAATAGTATTATCGAAGTTATTTGGTTAAGCTTTATTAATCATGTCCCTTTCATTTCTATTGAATTCTACATGAAATTTTTAGTTTTGTAATGCAATGACTTCATACCAAGCTCCAAGCTCCATTCAAGCTACTTATCATTACTTAAAGTCTTAAAAAATGTGAACACTTCTCACCCAACATTAGGCTAAGAACACTTTGAACAAATCAAACCAAGATTGCTGATAAAAAACCACCAATCAATTTAAATTGACATCATCAACAAACTAAATGTACTAAAATTAATAACCTTGAATAAAAAAGTCATGAGATCTTTGATCAAATTGTCAGCATGGTCACATTATTTGATTTAAGCCAAAAGTAATATACCCTTTCAACATATCCAAATTGTTTTAAAAATATCTTACAACCCATAAACGAGCCAAAATAAAAAATTTTCTCACTCCCCTATTTACTCATCTTATAAAAAAATGATCTAAATTCTCATGAATATAAACAAAATGTAATAAATTTAAATCCCACATTACCCCCACTCTTAATGTTGATAAAATGTATTTCTACATCGACTTTCTTAGTCAAATATGTGATTGAAAAGAGTGGTTTCTGAAAAAAAAAAATCAATTGGGGACAAATTGGATAAAATTTATTAGAAGTGACCAAATTATTTGGAAAAGCTTTATTAATCTTCTCCCTTTCATTTTTATTGAATTCTATATGAAATGTTTGGCTTTGTAGTGCAAACGAGCTCATATCAAACTCTTAACTCCTAGCTCTATTTGAACTTCTTAGCACTACTTTTAAAGCTTTTTAAAAATGGGAGCACTTCTCTCACAGCAAATTAACCCAAGATTGCTAACAAAAATCCACCAATCAATTGAATTAACTGCCTTAGCTAATTAAATTTTCTAAAATTCATAATCTAGTATGACAAAATCAAGAGAACTTTAATCAAATTTATCAGCATGTCTGCACCATCTAATTTAAGCCAAGAAGAACCCTTTCAATATATCCAAACTATTGCTGTTAAAACTAAAATATCTTAGAGCTAAGCAAGCCAAGATAAAATTTATATTCATTCCCTTATTTTCTCATCTTCTAAAAAATTGATTTGAATTCTCATGAATATGAACAAAACATATGAAATTCAAAGACCACATTACCCCAATTCTTAAACGTTGAGAAAATCTATTTCAACATCGACATGTTTAGTCAAACATGAGATGAAAGAGAGTGATTTATGAAAAAAACAATTGGAGATATTTGAATAATCTTTATTATAATATCGTCAAAATTATTTGGATAAACTTCATTAATCCTCTCCCTTTCATTTCTATTGAATTCTACATGAAATGTTTAGCTTTGTAAAGTAAAAGACTTCATAACAAACTTCAATTTAAAAAAAAAATGAATTTAAGCATGACAAAAGGTTCTAACAAACGTCAAATCAAACTAATGAGAAACTTGAAAACTGCATTTACCTACTTATGTAAACTAATAAATCTTAATTGGACAGTTGATCAAGGATTAATTTCATTGGCACTCGAAAACACGAAGAAAGATTGTAAAACAACAACAACAACAACTAGTCTTAATCCCATAAATCCTTTTTCTCCATTGGAAAAAAAAAATAGCAACAAAGGGTAATACAAAAATTCACCAGTGGTGAAAACTTTGAGCCATTTTATCTGAGAGTACACAGAGGAAAATAGCGCAAAGGGTTCTCCTTCAACAACTCAGTTTCCCTGCTCAAATTAAAACTTACAATTCATTAGCTATATTGAAAACATAACTGAAGCTATGCATAAAACACAAGGATTGGATAGATAACAACTCAGTTTCCTTCATTTATTTTTTCTCCTAAACAGTTAATTAAAGTTGATTGTGAGCCACTAAGATGAGTTGATACGTTAAGTTATATGATTCCGCCCTTTTCTCATTTCTCTGGCTTGTGCTTTTCTTAATGTTTTATTTAGCTTATATATTATTACTTTTTTCTGCTTAAATCATCTAAAATTGGGCATATTTAACACACTATATCATCATAATCATCATCCGAGTTAGCCTATCCTAAATAATTAATGATTGCTGAATGAATATGCATTTTTCATACATTTATATTCAGTTAAGTTTAAGGTGATAGATAATTTATGTAGTGCAAAAATGTTTGTACAGGTTTTATTCAAGTTATATTCAGTCTTTTCTTCTCATTCTCAGTATTTCCACATTTATTTTATGTATTCATCTTATACCATCCATTATCCTTAACGCAAACCACCTAGTTCTATTTTTATTAGTTTATCCTTAAAGTTGCTACTCCTGCATGCTAAACTGCTCATACAAAATGACGATTAACACCTTATTATACCTACAATGACAGCTACACCCTATTCATCAAGGCAAAAAGTGTTGAAAGTCAGTTGACAATCACTTTGATCACTTTGAAATTTAAGCTTAAATTTTGGAAGAAGTCAGCTTAAATTTTATAATTTTATAACAAGTTGTTTATTGAAAACTTAAGTAGAATAAGGAAAGGAAGAGATGATTTGTGTCGTGCACCCGCCGAAAATATCCCTTGCTTTCTTCTTGTTTGTATATGTTAAAAATATGTTTATATATATAACAAATAATTATTTCAAATTTTGAAAAATAATTGTGGAATAAAAATTCTGCATTTAATTCCTTTACATTTCTTAAGCTGCCTGGTTGATTTCTTTCCAACTGTCTTGTTCATTAAACATACTTTTTTAGTAAAATATTCTTTTATAACATGACTTTTTTGATCTAATGATTGGTTTTAAGACCATGCTACGCTTGTATCTATATTTTGTGTATACCAATGTAAAGCTTGACATGGAGTATTAAATTTTCAATACTTCTTGAAATTGCTTACTTCTTAAGGTTCATTTTATTTGCGTTTCGGAGTTGTAATGCAGCAGGTGTATCATCTTCAGCATTCGTCAAAGGTTCAAATCTGCAAGTCATAAATGGATGAGAAGATATGAGTAAAGTAATTGTAATAACTAGAATAAAAAACATAAAAAAAACACTTAAAAGTGTAGGGCAGGGTGTCATGGATCATGGGAAAGCTAAATTTTAAAGAACTAATTTAGAGCTAATATTTTAAAATATGCAACGTCATATGCTGGTGCAGTGTAAGTATTAGCCTGAATATAGAAAGGCATAAGCTTTTAAGGTTTTCATTTATGTTAGGTTTTTCAGCCATGAATTTATTCATCGTTATCAATAACATGGAAAAAAAAGTTCAAGCTACATTTTTGTGTCAATAACAAAGGTACGAATATAGCACACACAGATACTCACACGTGCACAGGGGGAGAGAGACAGATTTGATTTAATCATGCCTCATCAATTTCATAGCTTGCTCAAATGCTAGCAAGTAATGATTTGGAAGTATAGAAAACTAGCTTTTTCTTGCCTTCCTATTTATACAGTTCAGAGGTCATGAGGACCTTTTTTCTTTACATTTATTTCCATGTAAGTAAAAATCTGATGGATCAATGAGTACTTAAAAGGGAGAAAGTTTTATTTTATTTATGAATGATTTTGAAGCAAAGCATGAATCCCATAATTGAATACTTGAATGCTACACTTAGTCCCATTGATTTTTAATTTCTAAGAAATTCAATTCATAAATATCCAATAACTATAACAATTAATACAATTTTTGGCAGCATATGGCACCTCTTTTAAATCATTTACGCTAGAATTTAAAAAAAAAACATAATATATGCATCATTTTGTTCTTAAATTGCCTCAAAGATAAAGAACTGGCATACTTAGAGTCGTTGTCGACAAAAACCTCAATAGGAGTACTTAATTTTGCTGATTCAGTCCTAACACCAATCTTCTGTGGAACCTAACATGAATAACCATTACAGTTCGGTTAGCCAATATTATGCACAATACAAGCAGTTATGACTATTTAACTGCCCCTAAAGCAAATGACAAACCTTATAAGATGTCCATTTCGTTGGAAGAGAAATATTTTCCTTGTTTCGACTGAATCTGCTTCCAAGGGATTGCCAAGATGGATCATTTGCAGATGATTTCACAGAGGAAAGACTTGCTCCTGTGCTTTCATCAGAATAGATTAATATGGATTTACCGTTATCGATCCTGTTAAACACAAAGTGAAGCATGTTAGAGAAACTTTTCTTGCAAGCTGAATGAGAATGAGTTAGAACTTAAGAGCAACTAAATGAAATGTCAAACTTAAGGGGCTGTCTGGAAACGGATTTAGAGCGGGATTTAACCTGTATGTAGGCAAAATCTTGCCAGAAGGTCATTTGGACAATATAAAACTGCGGATTTGATAAATCCAGATTTAGTGGATTTCGGCCGTAAATCCCAAATTCACTAAATCCCATGAATCGGTGGACTTACCGGGGAGAGAAAACCTGGATATAGGCAAAATTCCCCCAACAGCTTCAAATGGATTTACCAGATTTAGTAAATCTGCTGCCAGACAGTTTTCAGGATTACCCCATTCAGGATTTAGTAAATTCGGATTTACAGGACTAAATTCTAATTATTTAAAACTTATTTGTTACCAGACAGCCCCCTAAATGTTGAATTTATGATTTGAATTTTGGTTAATGCAATGAATTATTATCATCATTAGTATCCCGACTACCTAGGGCTATAAATGAGATAAAAATTTTGTCATAACGGTCCTTAGGCAACATTATTTTATAAGGGTGTTGTTCATTCACTAAGTAAGATCATTGAGAAGAAGTTCACATCATTCAGACATGTACTAGACACTACACGACATTACCTTTCGAGTGGCTTCCTACTTTTTTTTTCAATTTCAGCATTCTTTACAGGTAGTCTACCTACGGCAATAGAATTATCAAAATGTATCAGAAGGTATAATGAAAATTGAGAGGAACTGATATTTAACTGAAATTTATTATGAAAACTTACCAGCTCCACCGTCAGCCAAAATAGTTCCAAAAGATCGAGCTTGTAAGTGATTATCAATCAAAGCATCCTAAATGGTAACGTACAAAATACCCAATAGTAAGTCCATGCAGGGATAATCAGCAAAATAACAAAAATAGGTAACACTATACAACATACTTCTGCTTTCTTCTTCCTCGCCATTGACCGTCCAAGAAACTTTCTGTATTCAGCTTCTAACTTCTCTAGCGGTGTTGCCTTCCTACAAGTGAAAGGCAGGACAAATCAAAACACCAGCCAAAGCAAATAAACATGAAAGAAAATTTATAGAACAATTTACAAAACGTGTAGTTACATTAAGCAGCATTGGAAAGCATGAGCTTTTCTTCTAAAATCAGAATTATATGATATCTAAATCAATAACGGACTGTTTATTGAATTTAATGGATGTGACTATGTGCCATTTCCATAACTTTTTATCCTTGCTGGATTTAAGTAGGTAAGGCTGTATGCGTATTTGTCCATTCTTTAGTTCTTTTCAACTTGGTGCGTGGTTGTATTAACATCAAGATCTTAGGAAAAAAGGATCAATACATCATTTCATGCCACGTAAGACAAATTCAAGAAAATCTTATGTGAACCTCTTTATGACGTTCAATGAAAAAGAGCAACCGGATATGGTCAATCAACAAAACCAAAAGAAATGCATGGAAAACAACAATGAAAGCTCGAAAGGTCTAACTGAATGAAAAACTATTTCAGTAAAAGCGATTATCATAGTATAAGTATGTACTGAATCATCGTTCCTAAAGTAGATACATCATCTCAATCGCATTCTATGGAAAAAAAATGAACACAATTAAGAAAGGACTCGATAAGCTTTACTATATTTCAACCGACCAGATCACTCACCCAAATGATATTTTGGCAGGCAGTAATACATAAGAAACAAAGAATATTATGATACAAATGACCAATATAATAGAGCATTACCTAGCAATACCAAGATTAAAAATTTCATCGGCTGTATGTAATTTTTTCTTGTATTCCATGTGCAGGGCATATGCTACATAGAATGCTGAATAACTTTGACCAATTTGGTTAGTCCGAAGAAACTGGAAGATCACTTCAGCATCCATGCAATTCTCTGCCTGAAACAGAAATTTACGGAATTATCATCAGAAGCCACCCATGAGAAAGAATTGTTTCAATGAAATAGAACAAAGAGCTATTGAACTTTCTTGAGAAAATTCAAATAAAACATACGTATTCTAGCCAAACTTTAAGATAACGCTTGTCATCCTTGTAGCGCTCATCATGCCAAAACGTGCGCACACATTGTTCATAAATCACAACCAAACCCGAACAGTCTCCTCCCGTTGGGAATGATTCTTGAACCCATTTAATGCAGCTTCACAGCACAAATGAGAAAAATCTCAGACAAATTCTTAGATAAAAATGCCAAATCATACAATTTTGGGTGGCCTCCAAGTCTTAGGATTTTTTGGTCATAATTAAAATTATGAATATCTACATTTCTTAAAGGGTATAAATTCAAAATATAGTAAAACTTGTGAGTGTTAAAACTGAATGTTTTTGTCTGCCTATATCTATGATCCAAGTCAAATTATGAAAATTTTGTCGATGAAAGTAAAAAGAATTTGTAATATTCTAAATATTTTAGCGTCAAATCTCTTTTAAACTGTTGTTAGCAAGATTTTTTAGTAAATCCATGATTTAGGGTTAAATTTGCTAAATCCTTCCCCTTATGGTAGGATATATCTTCAACCTAAATCCGATTATAAGTCACACACCAAAGAATACATAGCTTAATTTAATCCAGGCTTAATTTCAAAAAAATGCTAAATTAGCTAAATTCAATCATAGAGAAAACTCACAGGGTCAATTGATAATCTGTTATGAGATGACAAAATTCGCCATATTCTATTTTCCAAAAATTTTAAAAAAGCACACTCTACAAAAAAGTAGTCATCTTTCACATCGAGGGGAGTATTCAGTGCAATCTGTAAATCCAAATTTAATAGATCCTAAAAGGATTAAAAGCTAAAAAACCTTTTGGCAAGGGGAAAATTTTCTTGAATCCATTAAATCATGTCAGTGGTGGAGCTTAATAAATATTGGACTTTAAAAAACAATTAGGCGGAATAGTATTTATCAAATCAGTAAAATTTGAGCAGGATTTAAGCAAGCTTGATCTAAACTGTGCCAAAAAACAAAAGTGACAAATTCAAATCATATAGAATCTTAAATATAATTTCTCCTCCATATTGCCTTGAATTTTAGATTTACGAAATCCAGTTGTAAGGCGGATTTATGAGATTTAGAAGAGCTGAATCATTTGAAAGGAACGAAGTAAGGGGAAGAAAGATGAGGGTTACCTTCCTCAATGAAGTCAGAAGGGAGTTTCAGAAGTATTCAGACGAGGCGATACCATAATTGCATTCCCAGCTAACTCCAATTGTAACTGCATCACTAGGGTTTCAGGCAAGAGAGGCTGAAGGGAAGGGTAAGGCGATAATTTCAGGCAAAAATTAAGAGAGAGGGAAGAGAGGGAAGCTAGGGATTTGAGTGGGAGAGGGGGAAAGGGAAGATAGCTTTTAAGGATGATTTAATATAATAATACAACAACAATCACAATAAGTTTTAATCCCACTAAGTGGGGTCGTTTACATGAATCCTTTTTCTCCATTTTGTCCTTTTGAGTGACATATTTTCATTTAATTCTAATAAATTGAGATCGTTTTTCATAAAATGTGTCCAAATCTTTTTGGGTCTACCTCAATTTTTCTTACCATAAGTCACTTCTAAAATATCTACTCTTCCAACAGGATCATTGCATAATTGACTTTCAATGTGACTAAGCCATCTAAGAGGACTCTCTCTAATCTTATTTGCCACTGGAGCTACACAAATCCTTTCATTGATATATTCGTTTAGCATTTTGTCTCTAAGTGAAGGACACTTATCCACCTAAGCATTCTCATCTCAGTATAACTTAGTTTTATGCTTCCCTTTTATATGCCAACATTTTGCACCATAAAACATTGCAGGTTTCACCACCATCTTATAATTTTTTTCTTTTAAGTCTAAGCGCACTTTTCTATAACATTATAGACCCGACGCATTCCTCCACTTCAGCCATCTAACTTGAATTCTACTAATAACATCCCCATCTATATCACCATCACTTTGAAAAATAAACCCAAGTTATTTAAAAAGTTCACTCCTTTTAATGACTTGATCACCCATTGTTACAACTCCGCAACTAGATATACTACTACTAAAATTACATTCCATGTATTCAGTTTAGATCTACTCAAACGAAAGTTTTTGACTCTAAAGTTGACATCCATAATTCAAGTTTTTCCCGAAGTTTTTTCTAGTCTTATCTACAAGAAGGATATTACCAGCACACAACATACACTAAGGAATATACTCCTCTAATGTCCAGTAATAACATCCAATAAATGTAATTAAATAATAATTAATCACTAATAGATACCTTAACAAGCTAATTATAATTACATAGATTTGACATTTAACTAATTTATAATTAATTAACAAAAATTAAATTATAGATTAATATTATATTTGTTTAATAAAATTCTAATAAATATTATTATTTAAAGAAATAACTAATTAATGATTAGGGTTGTAAATGAACCAATGCACTTGATGAACAACTAAAACTTAACTCGATAATACTCAATCATGTTTGTTCAATTTAATAAATGAACAAGTTTGAACATTTTTTTAAACTCGAAGGTTAAATAAATCAAATATGAACATAGTTCGTTTATTGTTCAACAAGTAATATACTAAATATTCAATATTTATATAATATATTATGTAATAAAATTTGATTAACTAAAATATATTTAATTATATATTTATTAATGAAACAATATAATCTAAAATCAACATACATATAAATTTAATGTAATTTCTTCTTATTTTTATTTTAAAAAATTATTTTATTAGTATATATTTATGTTATTTGCTTGCAAAAAAATTTACTTGCAACTTATATATTATTTTACTTTATTGCTATAAACTAGTTAGCTACTAATTTGAAATTTATCTAATTAGTTATTTATATCTATAAAATATTTCTTAATAGAATTATATTAAAAATCAAATACTCATTCAACTTTTTAGCTTATTTGCTAATTTTATATGAAAACCAAACATAGATTAAAATTTTAATTTTATATGTAAATCAGGAACTTGTTTGAATTTTTAATTTGTTCAATTAAAATAAGGAAAATTTACATATGTAACACAAAATTCTTATATATTTACCTATCTCACATCAAAACTTTGATATTTACCTGCATAACACTTTACCTATGCATGAAAAGATGGATTTGACTTGTGAGCGAAGATAGTTAATGATATTTTTTATATGATAGGAAAGGATTTAGTGGTATGCGAGTAAATGTGAAGATTTGAGTGTGAGATATGTAAATACAAAAGATATGTGTGCTATGTATGTAAATGCCCCTCAAAATAAACAATTCAAAAAGAAATCAAATATGAGCAAGCGGAACATATATGTGAAAGTTTGCGTCAAGCTTGAACTGAACATGAATAACTTATGATTTGACCAATCAAACTCAAATTCATGACATACTTGACTCGATTACAACCCTATTAATGATTAATTAATGAATGTTAAAATATTGCTTAATAAATAATCAGTTTACAAATTTGCATTAATGAATAATTAGTTTAGTAAATAATTAATTAACAAATTCGCATTTGTTATTTTGACCCACAATTAATGAACTAAGGTATAGATAAACAAAATTTGAGATAAATTAATTTGACTTAATGACTATATCTTAATATGTAATATTAAATTCATATTTCAATTAACAAATTTAAATCTTAAATAAATTGCTAAACAATCTCACAAAGTTCAACCAAATTTAATATCCATCATACTAAATAATTTTCGGGATTAAAATACCTTAGAATTTACTAGATCCTAATTTACAGGATTTAGTAAATTCTAATTAAGTTAAATCCTACTTGAAGCCCAACAACCCGTAAAGACCCCAAAACTGTCAAGATTTATGCTAAATATTGCTTGAATCCTATTTAGCTTAAATCTTGCCTTAATAAGATAAAAAATGCCCTTTTCATGAAAATTTCATAAACTCAACAACAAAGACACGAGAATATAGATTTCAGCAAGATATAACTAGTTGGGCCAAAAGAAAATAATCCTAAATTTTGCAACACCCAATGTGAGACATAACGTGAAGCGAAAGTGAAAGTGAAAAAACTTACTCGATCCACGGCTGTAGATGATCCTCCCCCTTATACTCATCAATCGCGTCGATCATCCGCCTGGCTCAAGAAACGCGAAGAAGAAAGAGGTCAGACTTCAAGCAGCCTAAACAAACATCTCAATGATATAAATCCAAGTTAGAGACCTTCGAGTCTGTAGAAGATCTTTTCTCGCGGCATTGTTGGTTTGCGATTGTAGGGCATCGTTGAGGATTTCGACTTTGCGGCCACGCTTAAGAGGCTTCACATTCTCCTTGTAAAGCTCCCATTCGTTTCCTGTCTTACGCTTTGATGCTATGAACTCAGCCTCCGGATCAAACTCAGCCGCCGCAGGGATCGAGGGCGTCTCCATTGCTGCCGATTGGGAGAAAAGACGAGAACCAGAGAAGAGTTGAAGACCGTGAATTCAAAATTTATCAAGTGCGGCCCGCTTTGGTAGGGAAGGATGATTTCCATCCTCTCTAGCCATTGTTGTAAGACGGTAGAAAACTACCTCATCCAAACCGTGCATCTTCTTTAACAAGACCAAAAGATTTGAACGTACGGTTGCGATATAGTTTTACGGGATTCAAGGGAGTAATTGGGAGAATGCACGTGCGTTGCACGTGAGGAGGACGATACCCAATTTGAATTTACAAACTCGGTCCTTTGTTTCTCTCTAGGGTTCGCACATGACCTAACGGTATTGTTTTAATAAAGAGTGAAATCTCTAATTATTAGGGTTTAGAATTCATATCAACTTGATTTTTTTTTTCTGCAGTGCTTCATTAAAGCAGTTAAAATTTTATTTGATTTTTGAATGAGAACTTTTGAGTTAATAAATAAGCTAAAATCTGAATAAATGCTTGATTTTTCATATAAATTTTAAATTTAAATAGAGAAGCAATTGAATAAATTTTGAATTAGTATCTAACTAATTTATTCAAACTGAATAAAAATAACGAATTATAATTAAGTTTTATTGTAATCAAATAATATTCTACATAAAAAATGTGTCAGCACAAATCTTTCAGAGATCTAACAGTCCGGAAGAGAAGAATGTGGTGGAGGAAGATCTCCTGCAACTAGTTTGTGAGGCCTACCAAGTCGGACCAGTCAAGCCAGAGAAGTCGAGACAACCAGGCCAAACTTGACCGAGTCTATAAGCTTATAAGACAAAAAAATGAGTGATCTGGTTCAAAGTTACTCATGAGAAAATGAGCTAAATTATTTATCCCGCAAGAGAGTCGATCCAATGAAAGAGTCGGTTCCATAAACCATATTCAGTCATCCGGCAAAGGCCAAAGGGTTCCTAACCAAATTTTGAAGATAGTCAACCGAGCTGAGTCAACTGACAGAACCCTACCAAAACACAACCAAAAAAGTTGACTCGGTCAAGTAAAGCCCATTAAGCTAGTCAGCCTAGAGGTGTAAACGAGGCGAACACGAGCTGAGAGCCATGCTCTCAGCCATGGGCTCTCAGCTCGTGTTCGGCTCGTTTATATTTCGAGTTCAAAAAGTATGTTCGTGTTTGGCTCGTTTGCTTAACGAGTCGAACACGAGCTGTTCACAAACGAAGAATCCTTTTAACAATTCTAATCATGTAACCATAAGATATAAGACAAAAATGGTTTGAACAAGATTTAGATATTATTATTTATATTAAAACATCATTTGAATCTAATTTAATAATTTTTATTCTATTTTTTCAGTCAATATTTTAATTGATTATAAATCTTTGTAGCCTTTTAGTCAATTAGATTTTTTTTAAAATACTTAAAATATATAT